TTCGCTGTTTTCTTAGCTGGCAGAAAGGAACCGTAGCCAGTACTATGAAGAAGATGCATAATCTTTCTTTTTGTTTTTAAGTTTTTCTTGCAAATTAGTTAGACTGCTGGCTAGCTATTTATTTTAATTATTATTACTCTTTTTAAAAAATGCCATTTAGTTTCTCTGGTTTTGCACATATTTTGTGCAAAATGATAAAGGATACTGCATTTGGATTTTTCATTATTTTTTTTTAATTATATTTGGCTCATGTTTTGATGTCAAAACACAGTGTAGGTAAGTGGGAGTATGTGCCTGGAGTTATGGGGAAACTATACATCTGCAGTATCAGATATTGAAGCCTCCTTATGGTCTCACACATCCCATGTGAAATGAACAAAACTCCACATCCCCTGTCTGCCCTTCTGCTTCCTGAAATGAACAAGAGAGAGGGTACTGAGTAAGTATAAAAATGACAAATTTCTGGCTCAGTCTGTAACCCAGAAGACCAGTTTTTATTTTTTATTGTTTTGATCTGGTCTTACTCTTAGGCTTGTCCAGTAAGTTAAACTCCAGCTGGCATAGCTTGCAGAGACATGGGAACTTTGAAGGCTGTCCTCTCCACCAGGGCTGGTAGAAGGGAAGGGACAGGCACCCAGAACAAACTTAATAAAGCAGCAAACAGGAATGGACACGTAACAGTATATTAAAATGAAACAAACGAATCAGCTTGCTAGTGTAGACATCATGCTAAAAGTGAGTGGAAGATATTGAACCATTAATTTGGACTCTTTCAACACTAGTGATATTTTGGAAGAGTTTATTTTGGCTGCTAGAATCCACAGAAAGAATTCAGTATTTCCAGGACTTGTTGTGATTTAAAACATTTTTTAATTGTTTTGAATGTTGGCAATGACTCAAAATAATCTCTCTCTTTTTTTTTTTTTTCCTATTTGTAGGGACCATGTTCACCCAGGTTCCTAAGTACATTCCTAAATGTAAACACACAAGCAATTTTTCTGAGTGCAAAGGAACTGCTCAAGTGGTTCTTTTTAGACACATGGTTAACATTTTGTGGAATTGATTATGCTGAAAGTGTATATATAAAAGTTATAATACATATATGTAATCTTTAAAGTAAGCATTTGCTCCTCCAGAAAGTATACCCAGATATCCTGAAATTATTATTAAACAGCACAGAACATATTAAAATCCTTGTTTGGTAATTGCAAAGTCAAACCATATATGAAGTAGTGCAGTGTGATTTCCTGAAAATATTGAAAAGATATTAAGCTTTAAATATTGCTCCATTATTTTAAATCCTTAGTTAAACAATGGTGGGAGAGAAAAGGAAAAAAAATGCTGCACGGTGAAAACATAAAATAAATAAACAGAGAATGAAAATATGTAGTATCTCTGTAAAACCATATACTACATCTAAAACCAACTTCATTCAGGCTGTTTAATATAAAAGAAATAGATTAAAAACCTACATGATAGTCTGATATGAGCAGCTGTTGGTGAGATAATTTGCTTTCTTGCTTCTAATACGTTCATGAATTTTATTAGGAAAATTTGCCTCATGTCTTGTATCAGAAGAATGACTAAGGAGATAGCATATTGCGTGCATGATGCAAGGAGTACGGTAATACAAAACATCTGGGTGGAGAGGACAACAGTTCAAACTGATGACGAGCCTATTAAAAAGGCAACCTTGTCTTTGCTTTTCTCTTTTCTCACAATAAAAAAAAAAAAAAAAGAAGAACATTGATAGATTTCTCCATGAAGAAGCATCTTTTTTGATCTGCTCAAAAAAGATGAAAAACCTGGATGATGTTTATCAAAAGTCTTATATATCATATTTATGATGAGGCAGTTTTAGGGGTGCTTAAGTTGATAGGAACCAGAACTGCTCTTTGCATACTGGCAATTGCCTGTCTGCTTGCATAGAAGAGATTTGGTTGCTTATTGATAAACACTTTAAAATACATACATACTTTTCTTAAACCAATATATGAATTAATATTTACTGAATCAAATGCACTTGGTATTTGGTCAGACTAACTCCATTAATGCATACACCTATTTTATTAAGTAATTAGCAGATAACGACATATGAACAACTAACTGTATCTTAGGCATACACCTGTGAACTTTTATGTCTATCAAATATTTCCAGGAGATTGAGAAATTATTTAAATGGTTGTAAGTGTACACAATTTCCCAGCAGTGAGGAAATAAAATTACCTTTTTCTTCACAGATTGTAAAATATTTATTCATGCCCTCATTTTTGTGTAGCTTTGTTGAATAGTATTAGATACCAATATTCTTTTGAAAAGTAATGTTCATCATCCCTTGAAATACGGTAAATGGACACTGAATGAGTAAATAATGTTGGCTGGAAGGCAAATTTGGTCTGCATTAGGGAAACCCATTGTGTGCTTAGAAAAGATGATACAGGACTATATGCTGCCTGCTTCCCACCTTGCCATAAAGAAGAGCTGTAAGACAAACCTGTGGATTCTTCTGTAGAAGAGTAGCCACTCAGCAAAGCAGTGCTAACCTATTTATCACTCCCTGCTTTTGAGGTGAAACCCTGTGGCTTAAACCAACCCGGTGCACTCAGCAATGAAAAGCAGTGTAAGGCACAGTACTGTTTAAACTTTTAATTATGTGAACACTGCCTCACACTCAAATAACACATGAGCAATGATAAGCAGGCACTTCAGGTTGTAGAAATCCAAGACTCAAAAACCACTGTTGTTAAGGCTGTGCTTTACTTAGTGGGATTTCAAGAACTTCACTCCTTCTTGTTCAACTCAGTGCTTTAATGTACAAAATAAATAAGTAAGTAAATAAATAAATAATATGTATATATATATATATAAGTAGCTGAATCTCCTTTATAATGCCACATGCATGCACAAGAAAGATCTGACATATGGTAGGGAAAAAATCCATTCCTTTTTCTGCTAGCAAATAAAACTACCACTTTTAAAAGCAGCGATGTCATACATTTCTAGCCTCACAATTTCCTTTTCACTTTCACTGCTCTTTCAGGAAAGTTGTTTTTCCTCGTTTCACTGCTCTGTAAATCCACCTGTTCTAGAAATCCTAAGCAGACAGCATCTGGCAAGCTGCTTCTGTCTAGGCCAGGGTAAATCAAATAGCACTCTTGCAAAGGTGGCACTTTCAAAGTTTGGTGTGTGAAACTGAACAAATATTTGTCTGTCCCTAACTTAAGCATGCAGAATCCATATCTACAATATCAAAGAACCACCCAATTAGGCATGGTTGTGTGAAAGTAACTGATCTGTGCATACATACTGGGTATGCTTGAGCATAAACTCTTTTAAAAATATATGCCTTCAGCTGAGCCTTCCTATTTTTTTTCCTCTGTTTATGCTCTGTTTTTTGTGCATACTATTAATCCCTTTACTTTGCCCAGCATTACATAGCTTCCAAGTCAGAGACTGCTGCATTATCCAGAACATCTTCATCCCTGTATGTCAGGCAGTAAAAATCCAATTTCAGAATGCGCTTTTCCCCAATAACAGACTAGTATTCATACCAGGCAGAGTTTCCTATCTCTTTTAGTATTTCACAGCAATAGTAAGGAGCCCTTGGCTTCAGGATTGTCTCATAAAACACTGTATCTGATTTGATTTCTGCATTTTAGAGGAATAAATTTCTTAGCTCAAATACATATTCAACAATATCTTCTTTTGAAAGATGCTATACATATAGTTGTGTCTGTCTCTGGTAAGCAGTTAGTTCTCTTACACACAATCAGTTTAATGCATTCTTCATATACTCAGTGTGATTTAAAGTGCCATATTTTGCTTTTAACTGTCATCCATGTAAGGCTCCTGACTCTCAGTCACTTGGCAATTGACAGCACTGATCTTTGACATTTGCATCTTCCACTTGTCCATACCCATTGCCCTTCTGAAGATGACTGATTTGGAAGAACTGAAAGAGGGAAAGATGTTTCCACCTTGGGATTTTCCTGAATTAATCTTGTTTTCTGAACACAAACTCACCTTTTTCAGGAGTCTTAAATCCAATATCAGAATTTGGAGTGGGATGCATTTCTTCTTCCACTAGGGTGGAAATCTGTATCAGGAAAAGACATTGGATGGGTAACAGGATTCTTCAAACCATCATACTTTGCTTCACTGGAAAGATTTTACTTTCTTTGTGTCTTGTTAGCTATCTATCATAGTGACACCCTTTCTGCTCCTATAATTCAGAAGATTCAACGCTGTCTTTTCATGTTCAACACTCCCCAAGAAGCACTTTTCTCTGTGGAGGAGGTTCAGATGCATATCTTTGAAGTGTTTTCCAGAGATCAACATCATTACAGTATTAAGTTTATGGTCCTATGGTTTAGTGTTCTCACCTTTACCCATAATCTAAATTTCTCTGTGTAATTTAAAAACAGGGCAGCAGCTTTTGTGGCATTTTAATACAGGATTTTCTGATGGCATGTTTGTTCCTGTTGCTTAAGCATGTTCTCACTCCTGTGAGGGTTCATTTTTATGATTTGTAATTATGTGCTGAAAATAAACTAAAGTGGTATTTTACTCTCTTTATGCATTTGAGTTGTATGGTAAAGAAATCTTTGAAGAAAACCCCAGATTTACAGTACCACTCATTCATGACATTGTGTAATAAACTTTTACATTCCTTGGTAAGTACTTAGCTATTTCATGGATACTTGTGTAGTATTAGGACTTCTAGGGGTAATTACATAAACAATGACTAAACAGAATACAGCTCCTGTTCTCATTTCATCTAGCATTAAGTTAGATGTCCTGCAGCTTTTTAATATGGTCCTTTATGTTGTCATTCAAAGCTCTGTTATATGCTCAACAGTTGTCTAAAGTTTTTTACCCTTATATTATTTCTCAGTGTAACATTTTATTAGGAACATGCAAACTGAATTAAGATGTTATTTATGTTCTTACTGAACAGTTCCTTAACATTTTTTCTTCTTCTTTTTTTTTTTTTTTTTAAGGTAAAAAAATCGTAACAGAGCCTACAACCATTAAGCAGGTCACAGCTCTGAAAACTGACAGTGAGAAACCATCATCTGCTAAAGTCACTGTTAAACCTCCTGCTTTTGAGACTTCGATTACTGAAGTGTCTGTCACCAAAACAAAGGCCCCTGCTTGGGAGCAAACAACCGCAGAGACTGAAGAAGATACAGAAATGACTACTGATGTGACTGAGGAGAAAAGGGAAATGGAGGTGCTTATGGAGAACATTAAGTTAACCACCCTTCTACCTCAGACTGTCACAGATGGCAAAATAAGCCCTTACGATACACTGGGAAGGACTGAATATGATGTTTCACCTAGGCTAACAGAGAGCACATCTGCAGCTTTGGAACTGGAGCACACTTACTCTGAAGCAGAATTGCCCGAGGAACAAGGTAGGTCTGAAAGCACTGAGGACGCTTTCTTGACCTCTGTAATTTTTCAGGATAGCACAGCTGTAGCTAAGAGTTCCACTGGTTCGTGGGAAGATATTGAAACAGGAGACACACAAAAGCATGATTCTGATAATCAGACTGAACAAATAGAAGTGGGTCCTGTGATGACAGCTACAGATAGCTTGGTACCGACTTCTCAGAGAGAGTTTCCCAGAACAGGGACTTCAGTTTCACTAACTAAAGCGAATATGTATCTGAGTGCCCACTCAACAAAAGAACCCACAAAAAAATCAATGGAAGCAAAATCTGACAAGAAACTCACAACTGTTGTAATCCCTAAAGCTTTATTCACTGATCAGTATGATCTTACTACAGAGGGGGAGGGCAGAGAGAGCATGTACACCGTTATGCCTGATAGAGCTACTGGTAGCGTCCCAGAGTCAGAGGTGCCTGCTGTATCAGAGACACTCATAGATGAGCTTGCAGTAACCACTGGACAATCTTCTACAGCAGATGAGTCAACTCCATTCATTAAATTTAGTTCTTCTGCAACTGCGCTTGATAATGAGGCATCAGCTGAAGGAAGCAGAGAGGACTTAAAAGATGTGCAGCACACTGTGTCAGCTGGAATGCCTTTATCCTTTTCTGTATTGACTGCCAACCACACAGGATCCAAACCCACTGCTTTCTCAGGAAGTACCGTTTCCCCGCAGAAGTTTGGAGAAGGCGTCACTTCTGTTATTCATTCATCTCAGCAAACAGAAGGATCAGATGTTTTAGAAAAGCAGGAAAAGACAAAGGAGCCAGAAATTAGAACAATAGATACTAAGGTCCCTTATGTCACTACTGTTGTTCCTGCTTCTGTTACAGCAGAATCTGAAGAACGTTTTGCAAGTGAGAAGTTCACACATGCTCCTCCAGGTTCTGGCACATGGCTGCAGACAGATAAAGATCAGGGTTATATGACAGAGGAGTCCTCTTATACTAAGAGAATTACTGAGTTAGATACAGAAGACGGTATCTCTGGAATGGAGCCTACGTCATCTTCAGGGCAAATGACAGACTATACAAAGCATCCAGGAACTACAGTGTCAGCAGCAACAGATGAACCTGAGACAAGCATGGAAACAAAAAGTGATGAAGAAACTGTATCAGCTGATTTTGATCAGAGTAAAGGTACTACAGATGTCTTCCACACAAGCGGCTCTTTAGATTTAGAAATGACCACAGTATCTAAAATATCGGTGGATGAAAGCAGTGCAACAAGAATACCTTTTAGCTCCTCAAGTGGTACTGTATTACCAAGTGCTGTGCCCACAGTCATGGAGGTGACCGAGTACAAAGGAGATGAAACATCAGGGTATGTTTTGAAAACATCCATTCCTACCCCAGAAGTAGAACAAACAAAGGCTACTGAGAAATCAGTAGTGACACCTGCTGAAGAAGTCTCTATGACAGAGGTCTCAAAACACACAGTGACAGAGGAAGGTCAGACAGGTGTTGAGACATCGACTGAAGAGGAATCACTGGCAACACTTCAAGACAGAGAAGGAACAACATCAGCTGGATTTGGAGGGACACAGGAATCATTTATGTTTACAGAAGTAACAGAGGTGGAGACAAAGAAAGAACACAATGCTTCCCTAGTTCCAGTTACTGTAGATAGTGAGGTCATTAGAGATATACAAGTTACGGATCAGACTCCTTTTGATGGTAGCATTCATACAGAAGCAACTGCAAAAGATAGTGAAGTGTTCCCAAAGGAACTCACCACGAAAGATCAAGATCAAGAAACAGATACTGCCACGGAGTCTACCTTTTCTATGACATCTGTCCAAATGCATGAACAAAAGACGACGACAGGATCTGAATCATCTCAAACAACCATTCAGGAAAAACATGACGAAACAGGTTCAGCCTATGATGAGACATATATAGCAACGGAAGTATCAGTGCCAGCAGTAAAGCTCACAGAATATGGAAGAGTTCTGGGACCTGTTGAAACTAGCACCAGGTCCCTGCATCCCACTGTGACTCCCCAAGCTGAGACTGCTACTGATCAAGAAGAGAAGATCACTGAAGAGATGCCTGTAACAGCTGGTACACAAACAAGAACGTACGAAAGCAGAGGAACCCCCACCATAGAAGAAGAGAGAGGTGTAGGGAGCTGGGATTCTGTGCTGCCTCCCGATACGATGCCCACAGGTCGCTCTACTGCAGGAAGTGTTACTGTTCTGACTTTGGGAGCTTCTCCAAATCAGACTCTGGAAGGTTCAGGAATATCAGAAGAACCAGAAGAAGTCAAACCAGTTACATTTTCAGCTAGTGCAACAGAGAAGACAACAATTCTCAGTGATATAACTACATCTTCTATTAGCACAGTAGGCAAAATTCAGCCTACATCAGCATCCCAACCTTTTGTTTCTCAAAAGTCACCACGTATCATTCCTGAAGAAGAGGAGGAGGTAACCAGCAGTGACATCGTAATAATTGAGGAATCTATTTCTCCCAGTAAAGCCACTGCTGAAGATGATCTGACAGGGAAGATGGTAGAACCAGAAATTGATAAGGAATATTTCACGTCATCAACTGCTACTGCAGTTGCACGACCTACTGCACCACCCACAGTGAAGGAGGAGGCCACAGAGGCTTTACAACCTCAAGAGGTGTCTCCTTCTACTGCACACCCTGATAGTGGAACTGACATAAGATTGTATGTTATTCAAATCACAGGCAATGATACAGGTAAGATTTTGCCTTTTAGACCTGCAGTCCACCACAATGGACAGTTTACCATAACACACTGGTGTAACACCCTTAGAATATACTGGAGGTTCTTCCTGGATCACTGAAGCATGCAAAGGTCAAGTTTTATCTAGACAGCAACTTACTAAGTATTGGTAGGTCTATTTTTCTATCCATTAAAAAATGAACAGAAGAGTTTTATGTATAGATACAAATGATTAGAAAAGTTTTATAGATATGGTTTCAGGTGAAATTAATTTCTATGTAAGAATGGTATGAAACTGTTGCTTTCCTATTAAGATTCATGATTGTTATGTTCCAGTTTTCTTATTTAATATTTCCACATCACTGATTTAACTTCAGCTATCTGTGAAACAAGCATTTTAATTTCACAGCTTCCATTCCATGCATTACTAGTCCTAAACGAAGCACTAGATTATTTTAACATTCCATTAGTCTGTAGCAATTAACAATGCCATGTACAGTGTAGTCAGCTGAAAAAGTTTAATGCATTCTGCTGTGTCCAAAGGTGGAATCTCCTTTGATTTGAGGGAAGGGTTTTTACAGGCTTTTGTAGCATATCATAGTATTTTTTGTATCCATTTTACAGAATCTGTGATGCAAATTGATGTGATTTTTACAGTTGCATTCTGTTTTTTAGCTGATGGCATTGTACATGTGTATGCAGCTTCAATTCCATGGGTATTCAGAACAGAAACTCCTGAAGTAGTGATGAGCTGTTGAGTTTTATAATGACTGTTGTCTCCTTAACACAATAGCTGGACTCTATATGATTTTACATTGAAGAAGACTGTAAACTGACTGTTATTTAAGATGCCTTGGTAAAACCTTATTTTTTAAAATAAGATGTAGAAGAAATGACAAAAAGGATTAAGCTCAAATATCTAGCAGGTTCAATACTGCATTTTTTAAAAAATATTTTGTTTTGGAAGAAAAAAAACAGTAATTTTTTTATTTTTTATTTTTTTATTTTATATGGCTTAGATGTCTGTGATGCTCGTGAATAGTTATATAAGAAACTGTTTTGCTGTAACATCCATATCTTTGAAGAATTTTTCCAACAGAAATCATGATTTAAGGAAGTTTTTTGATTGGTTTTATCAGGTTTACACTTGGTAGAATTATGTTCAGAAATCAAAAGGAAGAAGTAGATCCCTTGAGATGTGCCGTATCACTATTGGATCTTCCATGTGGTGGATTTTGTATCTTCATTTACTTTGTGCTTGTTACCCTACTTTATGTTTGCAAGATTTAAAACTGCACAAGTCATATCAGTGGTGACTTAACCTGCTGTATCAGAAAATAACAGTTCTCTTTTTTTCAACATTTGAACACTACTTTTGTTTCTCTGACACGTTATCATTATTTTGGCTGAAGATGTAGGTGTTGCCAGTATCTTGGAAGTCTCAAATGAGACAAGAGCGGTAAGTCAGAACAGAAAGGTGAATTCTGAAGACAAGAGTTAAGTTGCATATTAAATGCTTTTGTACCTGAGGAATTTTGGTTAATTCAGCTTAATAATTAATAGTTGGGCTATGCAGCAGTGAACAACCTTTCCTGCATACACTGTTGAATTATACTTTGGTGTACTACACACAGTAGAGTAGATCGGATTGGGCAGCTGTTCCGGGTGGATGGTAAGAAGTAGGATGGTTTGGGAGTGTGTGGAATCTCATTGTTTTCTTCAGAGAGTGAATAAGGTGTACAGTTCAGGATTTCTCTGTGTATACATCAAGGGCAGTCTTGTTTTATACTTTCCTTGGAATGGTGTGGATACTGTGATTCAGTAAATTAGGAGTTCACTCAATTTCTGATTTCTGGACTATCTAAAGGACAGCTGATCAATGTACAGTCACTCTCAGCAGCTATATTTGGTCTCACTTGGGTGATCTAGTCCTTAGGAGAGACTTTCTTCAGAGTTTATCTTCTGCATCTTTACAAATTTTCTTGAACTGTGCACCCATTTTTTTTCCACATATATATGTGCATATGTGTAGGGTTGGTTACATTAAAAAACTAAAGCTATACAGCCCTAAAACTCTGCCTGTAGGATTGATTTGGTCTATAGGATAGAAGAAAAAAAATAAAAAAAATCCTGAAATATTATGAAATACCGTATATGGCAGTATCTGTGTTCTCTTTAAGCATAAAAGGATTTACCATGTACCAAGTGCACAGTCAAAAATGAGCTTTCTTTATTTTTCTGTTTCCAACCTCTAACAGTGGAAATCCCACCAGTTAGCTATCCACAGAGAAAAGCCACCCTATACCTATTTACTACAAGCTAGGCCAGAGCTGGCAAAGATTTATTCTGTCTGAGAATTTGGATTAGGGTTTTCTTTACTTTCTCCAGAAATGACACCCTGCATCTGAAAAAGCCTGTCCAGCCCAGTTTTACTTCATTGTTCCGCAGTCCATAAACTTCTATTTGTGCTAAAGAAAACGTATATAGGAGATGTTGAAGAGAAATGAATTTGACAAATATTACTAACACATACTCTTCACTAGAATGTAGTTTAACTTTCTATCCTATCATTCTTTGTTTGAAAATTGATACATGTCATACATGAACTACATAAATTGTACCTCTGACTGTTTTCTCATATAAATGATAGCAACAAATTGTTTTCATCATTACATCTCCCTGATAAAACAAGAGTTTTTCCACCTTTGATTTGTCATACATTCCAGAAAATATAGCTTAACATTCTTAAATAAAATAATCAGTGAAGGATATCAGCAAAGGCCTTCATGATTTTAAAGTCAAGATCCAGAAGTACATCCTAAGAAATGACAATTTGCTTACCAATCCTTTCAGATAACAGCTGTTGTAAACTGGAATAATTTCAAGATGTTTGCTGTATAAGGGGAACTGTATATAAATGAATATAATATTTTCCTTCCTAATTGCTGGAAATATTTATGAGATAAATTTTTAAAAAATCTTTCTTCACCTCCTTGCTATTTATCTTTCACCAGAAACAACAACTTAACACTGAAGCAGGGCTTCACTGTATGATGGTATTTGAGTGCTTCATGGATCTTCAATGTGCTGAGGTGTCCCACAAGGCTCCCTGATGGGGCGTGGAGGGGCATGGGTGGTCCACAGGTCCCTGTGAGCAGGATGGTGGCAGACCCTTAGCAACAGGCAGGCATCCTATGCGTCCCCATGTCCACGTTGCCAGAGAGGGAGAAGAAACAGGGAGAATTCCCCACATCTTTCTTCTCAGTCTCAAATCCTTGTTAAGCTGGCACCACCTTTGCTGAGGGGCTTTGAAGTCCTTGGCTGGAATGTGCTGGAGATGCATGGAATGTGTTATGGATGTATGGAATGTGGGGGATATTATTCTTTATTATTATTGTGGACTCAAGCTGCACTTGAAAGACCTTGTATGTTGACTGGGTTAAAGTCAATTAAAGCTACTGGCAAGGATCTCAGGCTGCCTTATACTCTCACAGATTAACGTGAAGTAGTACCATATATAGCTTAAATATTTCTTATTTAAAAATACGGTAGCACCTTAAATTTATTAGACCAGACATCCAGGGACAGTTTCTTCTATAGGACTTCTTTTCTCATGACATCCAAGACCTAAATAAGTATACTTTTAGCTTTTAAAATGCATGTGTGCAATCAATTAAACATTTCATAAAGGAATTTCTGTTACTTTGGAATAATAAATTATACCCGTGGAAACAGAAGTGATTTGGGGGCCTGGTAGAAGGTCATCCTCATTAGCTTAAATTAAATGCACACAGATGCTGATAGAAAGGAACACATCACTGGATGGATTAAATTGCTTGTTTGTATAAGAATATGGTAGTTTTCAGTGAGAAAATGTCCATGTGAGCAAGTGTGAGGCAGGTGCACAGACTAATGAGGTATAAAGCATGGTATTTCTTATGGCCCATGGCAGATCTGTGGCAGGTGTTCCAATTAAGGAGGAAAATAGATTTGTGCACTGGTAAACATCCTCTTGTTTTTGTTGTTGTTGTTGCTGTTGTTACAAAGAGGACCACACAGATGTTCCATGATAGAGTGAACGTGGGACTTCATTCGCTTGTGTGAAACTGCAGGCTGCTCCCTCTGGATGGTGACCATGTTGTCAAAGGGGTAAAGAAAAATAGACCTCACTGTGGCGTCTGACCACACTAGAACTTTTTTGTTGCATAGGATAGGATAGGAGACATCCCTCCTTTCAATGCAAAGATGGAAAACTTGCCATTTCATGTTCTTTTTTTCTCCTAACAGTTCTCCTACCTATTGTAGTGGTGAGCTCTGATGCTGTTGCTGGAAGGTAATGGATCAACAGCTGGAAAAAAAAATAAAAATCTTGAAGGAACTTTTCAGCTCATAAAGCTTTTATGAGCTGAAAAATGCTTGTGGGGGTGTTGTTTAACAGTGGTTGAGGGGATACTGGAAACGTAACTCCTGTCTGTATCAGGAGTAATTTGCACACCTGCATTTTTTGGAGACATTTAAAAGTCTTTGCTTAGTGAATATATTTCAAAGTGCTTATTGGACCCTGGGACTCACACCAGCACTGTCTGGTTTCTTGTCCCCTCCAGCTTTGAGTGGAATAAAATTGCAGGAACTTGTGTTTTGTAGATGTGGAATTTTACGGAAAAAAGTTACAAACCTTTCTGTTTCAACATGTAGTTCTCTGACGTGCATACTTCTGTCTTAGAAATGCAAGAGGGTTTGTGAAATCTGAATGAAAATGAGTACTGCAGAATGCAGGATGTTAATGAGTCATAGTCATAAAGCTGAACAAAAGAGGCAGAATAGGGTCTTTTCAGGTCTGTCTTAGGACTCGTCTTAAAATTCATTTAATCCTGTTGTTTTCTCAGCTCCTTCTGGGAGTCTCTCCCAGACCGTCATGGCTCTCCTGAAGCCTGATTCTAATATCTTGCCTGAATTGTTTCTTGGCTGGTTCATACCCGTGCTTATTCTTGCCAGCATTATCTTCAGACTGAAT